AGACCACATACTGGGTCACAAATCGGGTCTGAACCGATACCAAAAGATTGGGATCGTCCCCTGCATATTCTCAGACCATAACACCTTGAAATTAGAACTCAATCACAAGAAGAAGTTTGGAAGGACCTCAAACACGTGGAGGTTAAGGACCATCCTGCTAAAAGATAAAAGGGTCAACCAGGAAATTAAGGAAGAATTAAAAAGATTCATGGAAACTAATGAGAATGAAGATACAACTGTTCAAAATCTTTGGGATGCAGCAAAAGCAGTCCTGAGGGGGAAATACATCGCAATACAAGCATCCATTCAAAAACTGGAAAGAACTCAAATACAAAAGCTAACCTTACACATAAAGGAGCTAGAGAAGAAGCAGCAAATCGACCCGACGCCCAGCAGAAGAAGAGAGTTAATTAAAATTCGAGCAGAACTCAACGAAATTGAGACCAGAAGAACTGTGGAACAGATCAATAGAACCAGGAGTTGGTTCTTTGAAAGAATTAATAAGATAGATAAACCATTAGCCAACCTTATTAAAAAGAAGAGAGAGAAGACTCAAATTAATAAAATCATGAATGAGAAAGGAGAGATCACTACCAACACCAAGGAAATACAAACGATTTTAAAAACATATTATGAACAGCTCTACGCCAATAAATTAGGCAATCTAGAAGAAATGGACGCATTCCTGGAAAGCCACAAACTACCAAAACTGGAGCAGGAAGAAATAGAAAACCTGAACAGGCCAATAACCAGGGAGGAAATTGAAGCAGTCATCAAAAACCTCCCAAGACACAAGAGTCCAGGGCCAGATGGCTTCCCAGGGGAATTCTATCAAACGTTTAAAGAAGAAATCATACCTATTCTACTAAAGCTGTTTGGAAAGATAGAAAGAGATGGAGTACTTCCAAACTCATTCTATGAGGCCAGCATCACCTTAATTCCAAAACCAGACAAAGACCCCACCAAAAAGGAGAATTACAGACCAATATCCCTGATGAACATGGATGCAAAAATTCTCAACAAGATACTAGCCAATAGGATCCAACAACACATTAAGAAAATTATTCACCATGACCAAGTAGGATTTATCCCCGGGATGCAAGGCTGGTTCAACACTCGTAAAACAATCAATGTGATTCATCATATCAGCAAGAGAAAAACCAAGAACCATATGATCCTCTCATTAGATGCAGAGAAAGCATTTGACAAAATACAGCATCCATTCCTGATCAAAACTCTTCAGAGTGTAGGGATAGAGGGAACTTTCCTCGATATCTTAAAAGCCATCTACGAAAAGCCCACAGCAAATATCATTCTCAATGGGGAAGCACTGGGAGCCTTTCCCCTAAGATCAGGAACCAGACAGGGATGTCCACTCTCACCACTGCTATTCAACATAGTATTGGAAGTCCTAGCCTCAGCAATCAGACAACAAAAAGACATTAAAGGCATTCAAATTGGCAAAGAAGAAGTCAAACTCTCCCTCTTCGCCGATGACATGATACTCTACATAGAAAACCCAAAAGCCTCCACCCCAAGATTGCTAGAACTCATACAGCAATTTGGTAGCGTGGCAGGATACAAAATCAATGCCCAGAAATCAATGGCATTCCTATACACTAACAATGAGACTGAAGAAAGAGAAATTAAGGAGTCAATCCCATTTACAATTGCACCCAAAAGCATAAGATACCTAGGAATAAACCTAACCAAAGAGGTAAAGGATCTATACCCTAAAAACTATAGAACACTTCTGAAAGAAATTGAGGAAGACACAAAGAGATGGAAAAATATTCCATGCTCATGGATTGGCAGAATTAATATTGTGAAAATGTCAATGCTACCCAGGGCAATTTACACGTTCAATGCAATCCCTATCAAAATACCATGGACTTTTTTCAGAGACTTAGAACAAATTATTTTAAGATTTGTGTGGAATCAGAAAAGACCCCGAATAGCCAGGGGAATTTTAAAAAAGAAAACCATAGCTGGGGGCATCACAATGCCAGATTTCAGGTTGTACTACAAAGCTGTGGTCATCAAGACAGTGTGGTACTGGCACAAAAACAGACACATAGACCAATGGAACAGAATAGAGAATCCAGAAATGGACCCTGAACTTTATGGTCAACTAATATTCGACAAAGGAGGAAAGACGATCCACTGGAAGAAAGACAGTCTCTTCAATAAATGGTGCTGGGAAAATTGGTCATCCACATGCAGAAGAATGAAACTAGACCACTCTCTTGCACCATACACAAAGATAAACTCAAAATGGATGAAAGATTTAAATGTGAGACAAGACTCCATCAAAATCCTAGAGGAGAACACAGGCAACACCCTTTTTGAACTTGGCCACAGTAACTTCTTGCAAGATACATCCACGAAAACAAAAGAAACAAAAGCAAAAATGAACTATTGGGACTTCATCAAGATAAGAAGCTTTTGCACAGCAAAGGATACAGTCAACAAAACTCAAAGACAACCTACAGAATGGGAGAAGATATTTGCAAATAACATATCAGATAAAGGGCTAGTTTCCAAAATCTATAAAGAACTTATTAAACTCAACACCAAAGAAACAAACAATCCAATCATGAAATGGGCAAAAGACATGAAGAGAAATCTCACAGAGGAAGACATAGACATGGCCAACATGCACATGAGAAAATGCTCTGCATCACTTGCCATCAGGGAAATACAAATCAAAACCACAATGAGATACCACCTCACACCAGTGAGAATGGGGAAAATTAATAAGGCAGGAAACAACAAATGTTGGAGAGGATGCGGAGAAAAGGGAACCCTCTTACACTGTTGGTGGGAATGTGAACTGGTGCAGCCACTCTGGAAAACTGTGTGGAGGTTCCTCAAAGAATTAAAAATAGACCTGCCCTACGACCCAGCAATTGCACTGTTAGGGATTTACCCCGAAGATTCAGATGCAATGAAACGCCGGGGCACCTGCACCCCGATGTTTCTAGCAGCCATGTCCACAATAGCCAAACTGTGGAAGGAGCCTCGGTGCCCATCGAAAGATGAATGGATAAAGAAGATGTGGTTTATGTATACAATGGAATATTACTCAGCCATTAGAAACAACAAATACCCACCATTTGCTTCAACGTGGATGGAACTGGAGGGTATTATGCTGAGTGAAGTAAGTCAATCGGAGAAGGACAAACAGTGTATGTTCTCACTCATTTGGGGAATATGAATAATAGTGAAGGGGAATATAAGGGAAGGGAGAAGAAATGTGTGGGAGATATCAGAAAGGGACACAGAACATAAAGACTTCTAACTCTGGGAAATGAACTAGGGGTGGTGGAAGGGGAGGAGGGCGGGGGGTGGGGGTGAATGGGTGACGGGCACGGAGGGGGACACTTGACGGGATGAGCACTGGGTGTTATTCTGTATGTTGGTAAATTGAACACCAATAAAAATTAATTTATAAAAAAAAAAGATTGTTCTAGCAATTCTGGGTTCTTTGCTGCTAAGCATCTACTAAAAAAGTATTCTGAGATTTTTGATTGGGGGGCATTGAATTTTTAGATAGACTGCAGGAGAACTGACATTTTAACCACATTAAACCTCCTTCCAATCCAGAGACATAGCATATATCTCCATTTATCTAGACCTTCTCTAATTTCTCTGTAAAGTTTTGCAGCTGTAGGGGCAGAACTCTTTCACGTTTTTGTTACTTTTTTCTTCAGCATCTTCTGTTTTTGGTGCTTTTGAAAACTGCACTGCTTTTATTTAATTACATAATTTTTGATAGTATAGAAAATACAATTAATAAATAAAATTAATTTATACTGATATAAATCTCAAGTCCTTGTCAAATTCGCTTACTAGTTTTAGGAGTTGTAGTGTAGGAGCCCAGGTTTCTGTTAGTTTTTACCCCAAGTGAGTAACTGATAACTTAGCTCCATTCTGTTCCTCATCAGTGAACATGTCCCTCTACCTCCCTTTCCTAACTCAGCAACTTTAATGTGGCTCTAGGGTTGAAGGGTGGGGTACATCATTAGTAAAACTGAACTTCTGGGAACCATGTCCCTATTTATATCATAGATACTTTAATCTAAAGAAGGGCTTCAAAGCTCAGTCTTACATAAGTTAAAGCACAGAGAAAAAAGTACTGTGTAGAAACCTGAGTGGACAAATGTATAGAAAAATACTTAAAAGTAAATACTTCAACTCTACTAGAATATCTGCTCCATTACTGTAGAGAACTTTCTCTGTGTTGGTCTCTGCCATTTCTTCAGTACCTTTAACAGTGCCTCCCATTTAGTATATGTTCAGTAAATACTATTTGGATGAATGTTTGAAGAAATTGACATTTGGAAGAGTCAATGAAAGAAGACCCACTTTACAGTTAAAACACTGGCTCCCCATTTCCCCATGGAAGCAATTGATAGAAACTTAGGAATACTCTCTTATCTGGTCATGCAGTCTGCAGTTTGCACCAGTTTCCACCAAATGCATCATCTTATCAAGGGCATGCTTTACTTATCCAGGCTACTTGCCTGTCCCTTGAATGCATGAGGATCAGAAACTTCTCTATCAAAAGAAAAAAAAATGAGACATGACTGAGGTCCTATTGCAAATAGAGTCAGAATCAGTGCACATTTGATTTGCTACAAGGATAACACCAGTGTCATTGAGTACAAGTCTGAATACAAACTTGCAGACTGTGCTGAACAATACATTGCATAGATACAGTGGCTGGTGTGATGCATGAAACATATATTGTGTTCTTTATATACCTACAGTCTTCCAAACTTCTAGTTTTCACTTTTTTGTTTCTTTTCCAAGAACAGGTTCATAGTGTTAGGTGATTTGCCCATGAAATAAGAAGGCATGTAGGAAAGAATCAGGCAGTGAATAATAGAACCTGACTTTTATTGAGAAGTGACATGTGTATATCCTGCAGGTGTAAGTTAAATATACTTGCCTACAAGCTGAAGACAAAATCTTAAGGGAGCAACAATCACACTGAATTGTTAATGCAAGGAAGTGTAACTTTATTTTGGTACAAAAATATATCAGGTTACAGAAAAGGCCTAGGAAAGGGAAGTTGGGAGAATGAGTTCACCAATTGTCAGGTTGAAGGGTAAAATCTGTTACTGGATAAGTGCTCTGGACCATATCCATCTTGTTTGACAGCATGACTGGTTCCTTAATGGAATCAGGGCTCAATTCAGTTGAGGAACATCTTTTCTGCTCCATGTGTCCTAATAGCACAAAAGAATGGTCTACATCTGTGGGGCAGAGGTAAACAGAGGTGGTGGTCACAGGGCAGGGGGCTCAGCAGCAAGAGGAGGCACAGCACATGGGGCGGGGGCAGGTGGAGATGACACAGGTGGGGCGATAGCAGGTAGTGTGGCAGGAGACCCGGCCACAGACTGGGCGCAGGCAGCAGGAGGGGCAGCAGGAAGGGCGGCAGCAGCTAGAGCCACAGGAGCTGGAGCCACAGCAGGAGGGGTGGCAGCAGCTAGAGATGCAGCAGCTGGGCCTGCAGCAGCTGGAGCCACAGCAGCTGGAACTGGAGCAGGAGGGGCGGCAGCAGCTAGAGATGCAGCAGCTGGGCCTGCAGCAGCTGGAGCCACAGCAGCTGGAACTGGAGCAGGAGGGGCGGCAGCAGCTGGACACACAGCAGCTGGGGCGGCAGCAGGTGGTCCTGCAGCAGGTGGTCTGGCAGCAGGTGGGGCGGCAGCAGCTAGAGATGCAGCAGCTGGGCCTGCAGCAGCTGGAACTAGAGCAGGAGGGGCGGCAGCAGCTGGACACACAGCAGCTGGGGCGGCAGCAAGTGGTCCTGCAGCAGGTGGTCTGGCAGCAGGTGGGGCGGCAGCAGGTCTCCTGGCCACAGCCCTGGTCAGAGCAGACCGATCCACAACAGGAGTTGACCATGGTGTTAGAGGGTGGAGGTTCTGATACTAGTAAGAGAGTGAGCTTAGTGAATTTGAAAATCCCTCTATGGCTTGTCCTCTTTTATACTCTGTTGAGGCTATTATGTCCTTATCCTGGGCCATTTCCTACTTGTTGTTTTTTCTTTTTCCTAAAGAAATATTAGTCATTAAATTAGATCACTGTGTTTTTCTAGTTAATTATTTTTAAATAAAGAAAAATGAGATTTCCTTTTCCTAGTGTGTTAAGATTTCCAATTTGGCCTTTCTCAGAATTGTCTTTTCTATTTTCTTTATCAAAAGGGCCCATCACATGGGTTCAATCATTGATGTTTTCCTATGATCTGTATATCCCACCATGATGTTGTTTGGACAAATTATTCACATGATATCAAAGTCTCTTTTGATGTCAAAAGAGAGGTATAATTATAGTAGGGAATAGAGAAAAGTTCATTTTTACGAGTTACCTGTGGGCTATGAGGAAGACAGACCCTATGTGTGAGTCACAAATACTCATTAGGGACTAGAATCTGGCTGTCTCAAAGTATGTGCTAAGTATCACTTCCTGTGTTCAGTTTGGAACCGTTACCAATGACTCATTGTTTGTAAATATTAAAAGGGATCTGGTGCCTCTTTGAAGGGATTCTCACTGGCCCCACATGGGACAACTTGAATAGCAAAACAAATAATGGTAGTGATGGATTTTAACCCGTTAAAAAAAAAGAATCCATGAGTCCATATTGAGACTAATTAAAGAAATGAAAAAGAAAGATGAGAAAGTTATCTATGGTAGTAGAATGTCAACCAATTAATGTAGAAGGAAAACTGAGTTTCAAAATCACCATTTACAACCCTCATAATAAAACTTACATTCAAGTAAATATCATCAATGGATGCTACAACTAATAGGTGAAAGTTTGTTGGGGGGCAGGATATTTGCACACTTTTAAAATATTTGTTCATCAGTTATTTATTTCAAAGGGAAAAATGCTAACTTTACTCTGAAGAAACTTGAGAACAAAACCTTAACCATGAGATCAAAGTTAGCATCATTAATAATGGGACCAATGGACATGTATCTCCCTAAGTGACACACTGAAAGGACACATCACTTATGTAGTATTCCTGTCAACATGCATCACCCAAATCAAATTATGAGGGAATTTAGACAAACAAAAACTAAGGAATATACTACGTTATGACTTCTCTTTAAAAATGTCAAAATCAACAAATATAAAGACAAACCAAGGAAGTGTTTCAGATTTAAGGAGACTAAAGAGACATAATATCTAAATACAATTCATGAATATGGATAAAAATTTCTCTATCAGACTGTCTTGATAAGAATGGAAACATGCAGATATTAATTGTATGTTAGAGGATAGTAATGCATCAACTTTTAATTTAATTGGTATGTGTACTTACTCTAGTTATGCAAGAAAATGTCCTTAGTCTAAGTTTATGTATCTATATTTAAATTTTTGTGTCTCTATCTGTATTTATGTCATATCTACCGACCTACCTACCTATACCTGTCTATTGGAGAGAAACAAAATGTGGCAAAATATTGAATCTAGATGAAGGCTATATGGTATAAGTAAGTTATTCATATTACTATTTTGTAAGTTTGACATTTTTTTCAAAAATAAAAGTTAATTCTTTGAGGACGGGCACGGAGGGGGACACTTGACGGGATGAGCACTGGGTGTTATTCTGTATGTTGGTAAATTGAACACCAATAAAAATTAATTTATAAAAAAAAATAAATAAAAGTTAAAAAATACCAGAAAGGATTAGGATTGAAAGAATCTATCAGCAGTAATAGTATATTAAAAGGGAGTCATTCATGTATATTTCTAACTATTGTAGTAAATCTTTCATTTTCTCCGGGACCTGAAAATATGTAACTTTTGGCAACATGGCTGATTGAGTGGTACAAACAAATAGAAATAATTGAAAAATATTTTAATGACCTGGCTGAGCTTGAAAAAAGAAAAGAAAAACTCTCATTTTCTAGAAATGAAGAGAGAACTCAAACTGTAAACAGTAGCTGATGTTCTAGGGCCTTTGGAGTTTGTTGGTGTCTAGTTATAGGCTCTCGGAATTGGACACTGGTAGTTAAAACCCAGACAGGTGCAAGAAATGGGACCTCAAGCTGTCACAATGCAGGATCCAAGAAGGGAGAAGTTTTTAAAAGAGTTTGCATGTCTAAAGTGGCACCCAATAAGGTGGGGACAGGAAAACCTCAGTCTGCCCCCAAGGGATTGTACATGATAATCAAGGCTCCTGGGAGCATATAAGCCACAGCAACACTGGTAAGCTTTCTAAAATTTCTTTCTAAAATTTATGCTATATGCATACTGAAGGAATTTCAAGATGTGAAAGCATTAGAAAATAGCGAATGTCTTTGGAATCATCAGAGACAAAAGCAAAAATCAGAGTATACAGAAATAACTCCTATAAAAGAAAAACTCAAAGAAGCACTAGCAACAAGGAAAATAAACCACACATAGGCTACGGGGGATATCCACAGGGAAAAATGCTATAAAATAAATAGGAGAATAATCTACCATGAGTGGCAGAAAAGAAAATGTAACCTCAAGAACTGAGGTAATAGAAAATTCTGAAGATTATAAATAAGTTGGAGTTCAAAGAGGCTCTTGAATCTGTGGCTTGAAGTTTCCATCACTTTTGTTTAAATTGCCCATCAGCTATCTCTCTCTTTTTTTTTTAAGATTTTATTTATTTAATCATGAGAGGCAGAGAGAGAGGCAAAGACATAGGCAGAAGGAGAAACAGGCTCCTCACAGGGAGCCCAATGCAGGACTCAATCCTGGAACCCCAGGATCATGCCCTGAGCCAAAGGCAGATGCTCAACCCCTGAGCCACCCAGGCATCCCAGGTATCTCTTTGTTTATAGCTCCTGCTCTGCTCTCTTTTCCTGGGACTTAAATTTGTATGTACATTTCATCTTTTTTTTTTAAGATTTATTTATTTGACAGAGAGAGACAGTGTGTGAGCACAAGCAGGGAGAGTGTCAGGCAGTGGGTGAAGCAGGCTCCCTGGATGTGGGGCTTGATCCCAGGACCCTGGGATCATTACCTGAGCTGAAGGCAGAGGCTTATCTGACTGAGCCACCCAAGCGCCCCAACATTTGATCTTTCAGTTTGTTCCATGCGTGTGTCACGCTCTTGTCTATATATATATAGACAAGATATAAAAATATCTTTATATTTTTATATAAATAAAATATATTTTATTTTAAAATATATTTTTAAAATATATTTAAAAATTTATTTTTAAATAAATTAAAATATATTTTAATATTTTAAAAAATATTAAAAAATATTTTTTAATAAATAAAAATTTATTTATTTAATTAATAAATAATTATTATTTATTTTAACTTTGTGGCTATTTTTTTTAACTTTGTGGCTATTTTCTACTTCCAATGTGCTCTTCTATCTTCTGTCCAATCCGCTAAACTCATTTATTGAGTTCTGAATTTCAGGTTTTGAGTTTTTCAGTTCTAGGATCTTCACTAGACTTCTGTTTTCATTTTTGTTTTTACATAATCTGGTTCTCTGATGAAATTTGCCATTTTTCATAGATTACTTTAAACATAATTAATAGTAGTTATTTTAAAGTTAGTTTGGGGGATCCCTGGATGGCTCAGCGGTTTAGCACCTGCCTTCGGCCCAGGGCGTGGTCCTGGAGTCCGGGGATTGAGTCCCACATCGGGCTCCCTGCATGGAGCCTGCCTCTCTCTCTGCCTGTGTCTCTGCCTCTCTCTTCTTTGTATGTCTCATGAATAAATAAATAAAATCTTTAAAAAAATAAAGTTAGTTTCAATACTTTTATATGGAACATCTTGAATCAATTTCTACTGTCTTTTCCTTGTTTTTAGTGATTTGGTCCTTCTTTTTCTTCCGGTGTATCCTGTAATTTTGTAAATTGAATATCATACATTATATATTAAAAAAAAACGAGGGAGGCTCGAGGTGATTTTATCTTCCACCTTAAATGTTTTAATTTTCTTCTTAGACTATGGGACTCTCAATCCTGATTCATAGATCAATTCCCAGTGCTTAAAATAAATTGTTCTCTTAATTTTATCAAGTCCTTACCGTTATCCCCCTTGAGAGGTTGGTCTGATACCAGCTACTTTGTCATAGCTGGATGTGGAATTCTGCCCTTTGATTTTTTTCAAGTTTGTTTCAAGTTGCCACTCTCTTTTGGACACTGCACTCTGTTCCTTGCCTCTTCTCTGACTATTCCTTGCTAGTGCCTGCGCTAGTGCCTGCGCTTGCTCTTGCTCTTCCTTGAAATTTCCCATAGCTCAGGTCATAGATGTCTTCTATGTAGATACTTAACTTTCTATGACTCAGGAAAACACCTACAGGTCCACAGCATTGAAACCCATTTTGGATTTGTAAGCACCTGTTTTACATACTGTAGTTGGGGATCCCTGGGTGGCTCAGTGGTTTAGCATCTGCCTTCAGCTCAGGGCGTGATCCCGGAGTCCCAGGATCAAATCCCATATCAGGCTCCCTGCATGGAGCCTGCTTATCCCTCTGCCTATCTCTCTCTCTCTCTCTCTCTCTCTCTCTCTCTCTCTCTCTCTCTCCCTCTCTCTCTCTCTCATGAACAAATAAATAAAATCTTTAAAAAAAAAAGAATACATACTGGAGTTGGCAGCCTCTATGATGACTGCTGGTGATCTCTGCCTCCTGGCACTCATGTCCTTATGTAATTCCTGTCCCTTGAGTATGAGCCATACATGGTGATTCATTTGGAAAATAATAAAATACAGTAGTACTGAGAATACGTCACTTTCAAGATTAGGTTATTATAAGATATGGCTTCCATCATGTGTTTTCTTTCTACTTCTCTCACCTTCTTAGATTACTTGGTCTGAGGGGAGCCAGATGGTGTGTTGCATGAATAGCCCATATGGTGAGAAACTGAAGCTTCCTGCCAGCAGCCACGTGAGTGAACTTGGAAGTGGCTTTTTCTACCCTCACATGAATGTAGTCTTGTCAACAGACTTACAGGCAATCTCAGG